CCCCGGATTCTGCAAATTCAGAGCGGAATGACAAAGAAAAATAGGGCCGCTAGAAACTAGCAGCAAAAAGGCTGTAGAAGTTGAAGAATGAAATCAGAAGGGAAGGAAATTGGAAGTAACGTGGTTCGGGCAAAGGATAGCAATTCACAGCAGAGTTCGCAAAAAGAAGAGGTGATCTGTTTTGTTTGTAAAAGCAGGGGCCACATGGCGAGAGTTTGCCCAGAGCAGCAGTCTGTCAAAAGGTAAAGGATGGTTAGCTGCATGCCGTGAGAAGAAAGTGCAGGCTCTTAAAGTGCAGCTAGACCATTTACGCAAGATCCCATCCAAAGTACCTGAAGGAGAGTGGATATTGGGAACGACTAGATGGCGGTGGACATATAAAGGACGTATAATAGAGAATATGAGTGTGAAATAGCGGGAATAACAGCAAAAAAACAAAATCATTGGCGACACGCACCGGGCTGGCCCGTGCGAACATGCGTTTTTGCAAAATTTCGTGCTGCAATGATATCGCTCGGAAACCCAGAAGTTAGAAATGTGTGATATACCGGTCCTCGAATTCTGGGAAGTTAATTGTCTACACGGTATTTGGACAGGAAACATTTCGTTGAAATTTCAGGTTTCCAAATTTTCTTCTTGAGTTAGCAATATTCCTACCAAAAATATTCACGAGGCCGTACTTGACAACCACTTACGCCCGGGGCTGAGTTTGATAAATTTAAGCCGTACGTGAGCTAGGTACATTCTCTGAAAATTTCAGCCTCCGGGCTTTTCTGGTCCTCGAGTTAGCCATTTCCGCGCCAAAAACTTTCGAAGGGCCGTGTGTGATAACCACGGATGCCTGGGGGCCGATTTTAAACTTTCAAAGGGCCGTACGTGATAACCATGGATGCATGGGGGCCGATTTTATTAAATTTAAGTTGTCCATGTGCTGGGAACATTCCCTGAAAATTTCAGCCTTTCAGCTTTCCTGGTTCCTGAGTTAGCGATTTTAGTGCCAGGAACCCTCACGGGGCCATACGCGGGAACCACGCATGCCTGGAGGTGAATTTGAAATCCTTGAGTTCTATGGAGACAGTGGACATAACCTCAAAATTTCAGCTTTCTAGCTTTTCTGGTTTCCAAGTTAGCGATTTTCCCGACAAAACTTTTACCTCCTCGTACGCGGGGCCCAGACTTGCTTATAGGTAGATACTGCGGTCCTGGGGTGGCACTTGGCCAGGGGACCCACCAGCAAAATTTTGACGCCGGAGCTTGCTTGAGTGCCGAGTTGAAATATTCGGACAGACGCACACACACATGCACACACACACACGCACACCGGGTTTGTCACAATATGCGTTTTTGCATTTGCATATTAGCAAAAACGCATAAAAAGGAAGAAGCAAGGAAAGATCCGGTGCTCAAGGGCCAAGCTCAGGTGAGGATGACGTATTGCAAAAGGAAGATGTTAACAGCAAGGAAATGAAGTTGACGACTAATTCACTTCGCCATACCCCGTTGTCATTCGATTCCATGTGATATGCAAGTGCCTCATCTCCTAATTCGACTTCCCCTCCATGATTTATAGTGATGTGATTAGAAATGAAATGATTATCGCTTTTCTGCGCCGGATTTTCGTGCAGTGTAGCTTGGAACTGCTGTCGAATCTCCTGCGCTTTTCGGTTTCTGCTTCGTGTGTGTTTTTGTTTTTTTGTAAGTAAAGCATTGCTTGTTGGTTTGGGTAAGTGCTCTCCGCACTTCCACAGGAGCACTCCTCCAGCCGTGTAGGCCTCCAC